GGAAGAAGTCATGTCATATGGTTGGAGTGGCAAGAGTGGGTTGGGGAGCTGCTACACACTTCTTTTTGTTTTTTTGCATTTTGTTTTGTTTTGTTTTTTGAGATGGAGTCTCACCCTGTCACCCAGGCTGGAGTGCAATGGTGCAATCTCGGCTCACTATAACCTCCGCCTCCTGTGGTCAAACGATTCTCTTACCTCAGCCTCCCGAGTAGCTGGGATTACAGGAACCCACCATTACGCCCAGCTAATTTTTGTATTTTTAGTAGAGACGGGGTTTCACTATGCTGGTCAGGCTGGGGTGCTATACATTTTGAAATGACCAGATCTCATGAGAATTCTATCACGAGACCAGCACCAAAGAGGTGGTGCTAAGCCATTCATGAAGGAACCGCCCCCATGATTTAATCACCTTCCCCCAGGCCCCTCTTCCAACAATTTGACATGAGATTTGGTGGGGACACAGATCCAAATCCTATCACACAGAAAATACATAAACCAGTAACATAGTCATTTACTGTTATCGTCAAGTATTATGTACACTGCATAATTGTATGTGCTGTACTTTTATATGACTGGCCATGCAATAGGTTTGTTTACACCAGCATCACCACAGACACATGAGTAATGCATTGTGCATTAATGTTATGACACCTACAACATCACTAGATGATAGGAGATTTTCAGCTCTTTATAATATCGTGGGACCACCATCATATATGCAGTCCATTGTTGACAAAAATGTCATTATATAGTGCATGAGTCTACGTCTATCAGAGATTTATTATGGAGGCTGGATCCCTCAATTATGGTGGCTGAGAAGACCTAAAATATATTGTCTACAAGAGAATCAGGGAAGCAGGTTGTGTGACTCAGTCTGAGTATGAAGGCCTGAGAACCTGGAGTTCTGATGTCCGAGGGCAGAAGAGGAAGGGTGTTGTCCCAGCTGCAACAGAGAGAGAAAATTCTCCCTTCCTCTGCCTTTGTGTTCTATCCAGGCCCTCAGCCCATTTGGATGGTGCCTGCCCACATTGGTGAGGTCAGATCTTACTTACTCAGTTCACTGATTCAAATGCCAATCTCTTCTTGAAATACCCTCACAGACATACCCAGAAATAATGTGCCACCAGTTATCTGGGTATCCCTTAACCCAGTCAGGTTTACATCTACAATGACCCACCATACCAGCCAAATACAAATCAGCAAGACTCAGCTGGAGTGAAGTAGTGCAGATGGGCTGGACACTGCTTGGTGGCTCTGCTGCTTACCTTTCTCACCTCACATTTTACATTTCTACAGGGGGCAGATGCTTGAGCATAGCTCTGTGATCAACAGGCTTGGTGGGTTTTTCTTATTATTTCCACACTAAGATTCTTGAGGTTGGAATGTTATTCCCTTTCCTTTTGAAATCAGCCTACTTGTCTTAGAGAACTGATGTTTATGGTTTCTTCTGAATAAACATAGAAATTGACCCTCCCACTCTTAAAACTTGAGAAAGTTAACATTTGTTTTGTCTGAGTTCCTTTCTCAGGTTTTCAACTGTCAGCTTTCCCAGATAGTAATGAGGCAGGAGAACAGGGTCTGGAAACAGGGGATGTAAGGCCGATTCAGGCTGACTTTTTAGAACTGAATCAAAAGGAAAACCCCACCTCTCCATGTTCAAGTATCGAAAAGATCAGAGGCTACTCCCTTTACACTCTGCACTTCCCTACCCCCATTCCACTGCATTGCAGATGAAAAATTGAAAGTACCTCTGATTGGTCGCCTCCCTCTACCAATCAGACTGGTGGTGGGTCAAGTATTCATTTACATAGGGTGTAACCAAGTAACCAATGGGAAACCTCTAGAGGGTATTTAATCACAGAAAATTCTGTAACTGGTCCTCTTGAGCCACTTGCTCAAATCTGCTGCTACTCTGTGGAGTGCACTTTCATTTCAATAAATCTGTGCTTTTGTTGCTTCATTCTTGTGTTGCTTTGTATGTGTGATCCGTTCAATTCTTCGTTCAAAACGCCAAGAACCTGGATGACTCAGTCAAGACCCTCCAGCGCAGTAACAGTATCAAGGAACTGATACTTACCAGATCATCACATCTGGACAATAAGAAGCCAGACCCCTCACCTGTCATGATTGCCTAACCGGTCACCTGCTTCTTCTTGACCAACTCCCCTTCTTTACCCCTCCCCAATTCCTATTTTCCTATATGTAGTTACATTTCTTCCCTGTTACATAAACCCCTGATTTTAGTTGGCCAGATTTAGTTGGCTAGATCACAGCTGCAGCACGTGATTAAGCCTTCTTCCCCACCCAGCAATTATCATTGTCTCAGTGATTGGCTTCCTGTGCAGTGAGCAATTAATTGTACCTAGATCAAACTCCTGGCATTTTGGTAACACTTTTTTTTTTTTTTTTAGATAAGGAAGTTGAGAAATGTTACAGGATTTCCTCAAGTTCCTACAGCCAGAAAAGGGCAGTGCTGGGTTGGAACTCCACTTAGCAGTTAAAGTTCATGTAAGTAAGCAAAATGCTAGCTTGTCGTCCAACAAAACTATGTGAAAATGAACCCTAGCTCTTCACTTAAAACCCAGCAGCCCTGTGTGAGCTATGTAATCTAAAAGAACCTCAGTTAGCTCATGTGGGAAGGGGGGCGTAATATTTTTCTTGCACTGTTATTGGGATGTGTAAATAATATAATTTGTTGATGCTCTCCAGCCAGAAACCACTAGGAACACATCTATAGTTAAGAAAGTTGGGTTTAATTCTCACTGCAAAGAGGGAAAATGCAAACAATGGGAAATCCTGGGTGTGTCTCAGTGAGAGGATATTAGAAAATATTGTTAAAGGATTTAGGCTTTGGTTAGCTGCTTTGGGAGAAGTTGAAGAAAGCATAGTTTTTCTCTGGGTTGGATAGGGTCAGGAAACTGGGGTAATTTGTATCATCATAAATCTTACCCATAGGGAAGGCAGACTACACCAAGTCTGAAGCTGTAATTGGGGCTGAGTGTGGTGGCCCACATCTGTAATCTCAGCACTTTGGCAGACTGAGGTGGGAGAATTGCTTGAGCCCAGGAGTTTGAGACCAGCCTGGGCAATGTGGCGAGACTCTGTCTCCACAAAAAAATTTTAAAAATTAGCCAGGTGTTGTGGCATGTGCTGTGATCCCAGCTACTCAGGAGGCTGGGGTAGGAGGATTGCTTGAGCCCAAAAAGCTGAGGTTGCAGTAAGTCATTGTACCACTGCACTCCAGCCTGGGTGACAGAGTGAGACTCTGTCTCAAAATAAAAGCTATAACTGGCAATGAAGCAGCAGCCAGTTCTGTTAGCCAAGACAACTGCTATATTTGTGTGTACGTGTGTGTTTTTTTGTGGCTTGAACAATGTTTATACTTTGTCTGTTTTCAGATACGATGTTGCAGTGGTCTTATTCTGGTCTAGATCCATCCTGGTCACAGAGGAGTCTTGTCTAAGGGTGCTGTGGGAAATTGTTTTTGTTCATGTTCAACAGGAGAACATGGCCCAGGATAGTGCCAGGCCAGATCTATTTCAGAATATACGGTATTCATCCCGGTGCTGGACTCACAGGTGTTGGAACCACAGGGGTTATGACTCTAATGGTGTATACCCAAATGCCATCCCAGACCTCTGAACCACAGTAACACAGGCAAGTGCATTCTGGAGAGGCTAAAAGACAGATGTCCCATCAGGGAGTAATGACTCATTTTCTTCCTTAGCTTCAAACATTACATGAAGCCATTTCCATGAAGTCAGTGGTATTTCAGCCCAGCGAGAATTTTGGACACAGCAAAGAGGGGCCTGCAAGTTAGATGACCTATCTTGTGCTTTGCCGTTGCCTCCTTCATGCAGCAAATATGTAGGGTGTGTCTCAGAGCTGGGCTAGATACTGCGACACCCACCACCTCACGAAAAAGGCAGAGAAGCAAACAATCTAGCTGAAAAAAAACATAAAAGCACATAGTGTTCAGTGAGGGCAGTGGTGCTCACTCTTTCCTATGTAATGGAATCACCTGTGAATCTTTTAAAACACTAATGACTGGGGTCCCATCCCACTGAGTGAAGTGATCTGGGCTTCCACTCGGGGCTTCCAGCTTTTAAAAACTCCCTGGGTGATTAGTGTGCAGCCAAGTTTGGGTACTATTGGTTTAATCCATCATTTTTACAGGTTTGGAGGGGGGTGTTGGGGGGTAGGGGTGGAGGTGGGAAGTGGGCAATACGGGGTGTCACAGATGTCGAATTGGATAAAAACTTTTGTCCCTCATTCCAGGCACTTGCATTTAGATGTAAAACCTGGCATAGTATTTCAGGGTATTTACAGATCCCAGGAAGTGAACCAGGGAATGCCTGTGAGCCGTGTGGTCCCCAAGTGAGAAAAGTCCAGCTGCAGGAGTGTCCACCTCCAATCGGGGTGACAGGAGCTCTCTTGTCCTACCCAGAATGGTGCTGGCCCTTTGTCTCAGTCTTTTTGTGCTGTAATAACAAAGTACCCAAGACTGGGTAATTTGTAAAAAGCAAAACAACAACAACAAAGCAGGAATTTATTTCCCACAGCTTCTGAAGTCTGGGAAGTCCAAGCTCAAGGTGAAGTCTCCTCAGGTGGCAGAGAGCAGAAGCACACAAGAGACCAAACTCCCTCCCTCAAGCTCTTTTACAAGAACACTCAGACATTCACAAGAGCTGAACCCTCAAGCCTACTCACCTCCTGAAGGCTACACCTCTAATACGGATTGAACTTTCGCATGAGTTTTGAGGGAGAGCCATTCAAAGCCTAGCACCCTTCGACTTCAGAGAAGCTCCGGCCCTGCTCTCACCAAGCCGGTTCCCCCTAGGCAGAGCGCCAAGAAGCAGCCCAGGCGATCCCAAGGCTCACAAGTGCTCTCATCAGGCTGCGCGCTGGCCGGTCAGTGCACCGGGGCAGGGCCGCCGCCCACGCGTGCTTGGTTCAGGGAGTCCAGGCTGCCCCCACTGGCGGCTACAAAAGCGCGCCGAGTCTTCCTGTCCACCCAGTCGCCCCACATGTCAGCGGTTGGTCGCCTCGCGGTGCAGCGCTGGGCACGCGAGCCCCTCCCGCAGCCATTCGCAGCACAAGCACCACCCGCAGCGACAGAGCTAAGAGCCCCCACGCCGCAGAGGTCGCGCGGAGCAGGTAAGCGCAGCCTCCTGGGTGGGGAGCCACGGAGGAGAAAGGGCGGCTGGGTCCCACGGTCCCGCCAAAGGACAGGCTATGCCCTTTCAGTACCCCCTCATCCCCGGCTCTGTTTCTAATCTAGGAATAAACAAGAAAGTCCTTAGTCTTTGAAAAGAAAATGATTCCCAAATACAAAAAAAAAACAAAAAAAAAGTTAAAAAGTGAAATATCACATGTTTGTTTGGCTTAAAATAATTATACATGCTTGTAATGAGGGAAATCAAAAATTCACAAGCCTCTTGATTTAAAATAGTTTAAATATCTTTGGCTTGGGATTATGTGGTTACTACCCTTCAGAAACAATGTGTCAACAAAACATACCACAGCTGATGGGAAAGTGGTTTACTTCCCATTAGGTTGCAAATGCCTTAGAAACACTCCTGGACCACAGCTTCAAGAGACACAAGCAGTCACCTCATCTGCTGGTTTCCAAACTGCCCTGCCGGGAGCAGGTCAGGGACCCCACAGGGCTCCTCAGTAACCCCTCAAAATCCTCTCCCATCAATGGCCCCACCAGAGCATCCCTACTTTTGAATGCTTGTCTAACGCAGGTTCCAGATAAGATTTCCTTTCACAAGCGACTTCCATGGCTAAGGAGAAATTTAACACTCTAGAACTAGTCCAAGCCCCTCTCTGCAGCGGTTTTTATAAGCAGTGGAGCCATCTTGTAGATTTCTAAGCTTGCTGGGAAATAAAACACTGCTATAAATGCATAGAGCCTTCTCCCTTGTGAAAAGGAAACTCCTGCCAGAGGTAAAAGCAACAGCAAGAATAGCATTGCGCAGAGTAAGGATGGCTAACACCAGTCTTCCTCCTGGGGATTTACATCAGGATTGTAACATATTAGATGTAAATCCACGTGTGGGCTCCAGGGTGGATCTGGAGGTCCAAGCACCAAGGAGCTGGGGTCAAAACCAACTGTTGCTAAAAGCCAAGGGAATTACAACTAAGGAACAAGATGCTTTAAAATATGACTTGTGACTGGGCGCAGTGGTTCACACCTGTAATCCCAACATTTTGGGAGGCAAGGTAGGCAGATCACCTGAGGTCAGGAGCTCGAGACCAGCCTGGCCAACATGGCGAAACCCCCTCTCTACTAAAAATACAAAAATTAGCCAGGCGTGGTGGTACATGCCTGTAATCCTAGCTACTAGGGAGGCTGAGGCAGGAGAATCGCTTGAACCCAGGAGGCGGGGGTTGCAGTGAGCCAAGATCATACCACTGCACTCCAGCCTGGGAGACAGAGCAAGACTATGTCTCAAAAAAAAAAAAAAAGGCTTGTAAGTAAATAATGATACAAAGAAGATACATGAGCAGTATCAAAAGGCAGGTTTATTTTTCTTCCCTTTATCCATAATTTAGGGATTCTTAAAATAGCTTAAGCAAAATATATCCAAGTTGTTAATCACCACATGCATGATGCTGGGTGGTTAATTTAATTGGTGAAATGGTTTTGTTGCCTCCGTAGAGTAGCAGTATCTATATGGACCAACAAAATCATTTCACCAATTAACAAAAGCCAGTGTGGCCCATTGTTCTCTGTGGCAAGTCTCCTTTAAGAAGTGACATGCACCTGTACTCCTAGCTGCTTGGGAGGCTTGAGGACTCCTTGAGCCCAGGAGTTCCAGGGTACAGTGAGTATAATTTGCCACTGTGCTGCAACCTGGAGGGCAAAAACCCCATCTCTACTAAAAGAAAAAAAGAAGAAAAAGGAGAAGAAGAAGAGAAGAGAAGGAAGTTTTTCCTTGGTTCTTTGAAAGCTCTTTCTGAGTAGCATTCCTCCCCCACTACAAGTGTAAATGATTCCATGGTGAAAGACAAGAAAAGAACTTCTCCAATAGGATGAGGTGGTCTCATACCAACCAAAGCAACCAAGGTTTGCATACCAACATTGCCAGGTGGGTGAGGATTGCATTCATTCCTAACCTCTTGAGGCTTCAGCATCCCAAGACTAGATGGTAGAAAATCTCAGTAGCTCTCCAGGCAAAGCTGGCCGAGGGCGGGTGTTCAGAACACTCGCCCACCATGTCTGAAAAGCATCCAGAGAGATCATAATGCTTTGACTTCCGATATAACCTTTTGGGGTGTTTATGTACTTTTACATGCTTCAAGGAATAAAAAGTCTAAATAGAATTCTAAGTGCAAAACCTCTCTCTGTACTACTGAGGATTCTCAGACAGAAGAATACATTTGTTAACCACGGTAACAACATATATAATCAAAGTTTTGTATTGTTTTGAGCTTGGTTATAACAATGTGCTACATCCATACACGCACACACAGAAGGAAGTGGTTGAAAACCAAGACAAGGAACACTCTGGTTTTCTGGATCAAGACCAGGATCGACCCGCTCCAGTCCTGCCTGGGCTCTGCTTTCTCCCTTCCCCTCTTTGCCGGTTGAGCATCTCTGGCGCCACTTAGTGGTCCCCATGATCCATGCTTCAGTGCCCCAGAGGGCCCAGAAGGCTTAATGTTACCAGCCCGGTCTCAAGTACTAGAGTGACATGACCGCTCCCTTACTGAGCCTGACCAACCGCCTGGATCTTGACGTGCATGGCCTCCTTTCACTCTCACCACAGCCCAGATCATGGGGGGTTTGTACCCATTTCACAGATGGGAACAGAGAGGCTTCAAGTTAGGTTGAGACTTTGCTTACACTCCCAAAGCTAGCCAGCACTGGGACTGGGCTTCCAACCCTTCCTCTGACTCAGCTGCACACACCATCCTTACTAAGAGGATGGCAACCCCTTGCTTACTGTGCATTTGCATTAACTCTCTGAACCCAAGCTTATAAATAACCAAGCAACACATTCTGTACTATGCATTTGTTATTCCCAAAAGACACAGCTTGATTCCAAATAAAATGACTAAGTTTATTTCCTGCTCACCTTCCAGCACATCTTGGACTTCAAGAGAGATGACGTCATTCAAGCACTTACATAAATTCTGTGTTGTGGCAAGGCTCTGATCCTTTTCTTGTCACTTCTTCAGCATCCTAAACTTGCACATGATAACATCTGTTGTCCTCCATCGGATATCATCAGTATTGCTAATCTACAGTGCCACATTGGCAGTAGTGATTTTTTTTTTTTGAGACAGAGTCTCGCTCTGTAGCCCAGGCTGGAGTGCAGTGGCACGATCTTGGCTCACCGCAAGCTCTGCCTCCCGGGTTCATGCCATTCTCCTACCTCAGCCTCCCAAGTAGCTGGGACTACAGGCACCCACCAGCATGCCTGGCTAAGTTTTTCTATTTTTAATAGAGACGGGGTTTCACTGTGTTAGCCAGGGTCATCTCCCACCTAGGCTTCCCAAAGTGCTGGGATTATAGGCGTGAGCCACTGTGCCCGACTTGGCAATAGTGATTTTTATCCACTTTTTCTCCAGGTTCTCAGAAAGAATATTCAACTTAATATCTATTTGGGTGGGAGGGCAGGGTGTTAGTCTTTGCTTCATCTAAAAGTAAATGAGGAATTCAGTATCTCCTCTGACCACTTCAATCACTTATAGACATGTATAATGAAAATATATTCTTCTTACTTAAAAAAGATTACCTGACGTCCGGAGTTTTGAGACCAACCTGACCAACATGGTGAAACTCCATCTCTACTAAAAATACAAAAATTAGCTGGGCCTGAGGGTGCATGCCTGTAATCCCAGCTACTTGGGAGGCTGAGGCAGGAGAATCACTTGCGCCCACCCATGTTTAATCGCAATATACTAGCTCTACAACACTGAACACCACCTAGGAGTCCACTAAAACAGAACTAGCGAGCACTGCACTAAATTGTTAGCTCGTACACCATAAATCACAAACATATACAGCACATTCCACAGAAAAGTCATGGGACACACAAAACAGAAACTATCCTGTTTGTATCTGATTTTAACATGTTATCAGTCTCTAATACAAAACAGAGGTCATACACTTGGACGGTAGTGAAATTGTGAAATATGGTTATTTGGTCTTCCTCATCTTTTCCCGACACATGTTCCCCTCAACCTTGGAAACATCTGTGCTAATGAGTGACGTGGAGTTTGAGGGCTCTACGATCAGCCTCAGGTGGGAGCCGTGTGGGAAAATCAAGGCTGATTAGATGGTGAAGATTTTCCAGCCCTCATCCACAAGCCCCCAACCCTCCAGGAGGTGAAGGAGGGGGGCTGAAAATTGAGTGATCATAAACAAATAATCAATCATGCTCTACAAATGGATAGCTTCCATAAAATAATTCAAAAAGCGCTGGTGCGGTGCTCACGCCAGTAATCCCAGCACTTGGAGCCAGGGTGGTGAGATCACGAGATCCAATGAGATCCGAGACCATTTCTGCCAACATTGGTTAAAACTCTTCCTACCTAACACACACAGGAAGATTGGTGGCCAGCCTGTACAGTCCCAGCCTACCTGGGAGGCTGAGGCAGAGAATCAGTGAATCCCAGGAGTGGAGTTGCGGTGACTGAGATGCGCCACTGCACTCCAGCCTGGTGACAGAGCGCAGATTCGTGTCAAAAAACAACACACAAAAGAAAAATTCAAAAGGACGGGGTTGGAGAACACATACACAAACAACACATCCTTATCGTGTGAGGCGTGGTAGAAGAGAAACACACCAACTCCATGGGGACAAGCTCCTAGGACCGAAAACTTGCCAACATTCACCCCATGATCTCTTCATCTGTATCTTTTATCATATTCTTTATTTTTAGGCCTAGTCAGGTGAAGTTTATATATCTTGTATACTAAACTGGTAAAAATGTGTTTCCCTGAGTCTTTGTAACGCTCCAGCAAATTAAATTGAACCTGGGAGGGGCATGTTGGTAACTTAATTGTAGCAAAAAAAGCTCAGAAGTCTAGAGGCCTCAGATCTGCAAACTGGTACTGAACTTGGCGGTAGTTTTGTGAGACTAGTCTGACCTTGTGAGATCTGTACACACCACTCTTTAGGTAGGGAGTGTCAACATTG